CATTTTTTTTAAAAAGTAATACTTCAGCAGTATTTATTTAAAAAAATCACTCTGAAAATGTTATTCTTTGAAAAAAAATATTAACAGAATCATTTTTCTTCAAAATAAACTTTGTCAGAATCATTTTTTTTAAAGAACACATTGTTAGAACTATTTAATTTTGAAGAAATCATTGCCTATAATGTTATTTTTCAAGTTAATCTACTGGATTTATTAATTTTAAAAATGAAAAATTCAAGTTGATGAGCTGAGCTATGCCATAAGCTAAGTCACAGTATAAGCTAACTTAATTAGCTTACAAGCTGTTTTATAGTAGCTCAAGCTGAGCTTTAGCAAGCTGACTCATGAGGCTTGTGAATCAGTTTGGCTTATGAGGAGCTTTAAATACAACTGTTATTATTATTTTTCTTAGCATAATTAGTTTAATGTGATGATTTTTTATAATAAATATCACATCCAAACTGTTAGAGATAATTTTACATCTTAAAATTTATAAGCATTTATTATTAACTAAAACTTCAGATCAATTTGAAATTTTTAAATTGAATCCATTCAGTTCAGAATTTTTTTAGTTCAGATTGAATTATAATCTGAAAAAAATCTGAATTAATCTAAAATTTTTCAGATTGATTTTTTTACAATCTGAACTAAACTGAATTAAAAAATTTTCAGATTTATCTAATCTATTTAGAGATTTAGCTTCAAGTATTTTTAGTATTGATAATTTTTATAACAGCATCTATAACAAAAGAATTAGCAGTAATAATAACTACAATAGTAATAGTAATAATAATAGTAATAATAATATGCAATAATAATGATAGTAGAAACAACAGTAATATCAATAATAGTACTAACAATAGCATTAATAGTAGTAGTAGTAGTAATAATAATAATAACAATAATAATAACATTACTATTACTATCATAATGATTATCATCATTCTTATAATTATTATTACTTATTTTATCATAACTACTATCATTATGTTTTGTATTATCACTATTAATCAATATCATTATCATTTGGTTGATTTCAACTGAATGTTATGTATTACTCTGTTTTTTTTTTGTTTATATTTTAGAAATTAAAACATTATATCTAACAGAAAAATATGAATTTCAAGAGAATCTTTCTTGGATTAGTTCTTTTATTAAAAAAATTGATTTATTATTAATAAGAAAAACTAAAATTTTACAAAAATTGCTTTAAAATACAGAATAAAAATTAGAAGATTTAAGTAATTGTTATAAGATTGAGAATGCAATACAATTTTAATTTAAACAATATTTTAATATTAATAAGACTCCAGTTTAGTTTGATATAGTGGGTAATATAATTATTAATAATAAAGAAAATAAAATAGTATATATTTATATTACTAGAAATGATAAAAATTACTTAATATAGTTTTAAATTATTTAGCTAGTAAATAAGATTTAATTTAATTTAATTTTTTATTTATTTATGAAAATGCGTTAATATGGAAGTTTTGCAGTAAAAAAAAAGAAAATTTAAAGAATTAAAATTTTATTTTATAAGTTATATATGATTTTTAGTTAAATAAATAAAAATTTAATATTATCTCAAAAAAATTTTTTTTTAGAATTTAATACTTTTTTAATGCAAAGCTTCCATATAAAATAAAATTTTAACTTTAATTAAAAAATCCCAGAACTTCATTTTTCTAGCTTATATCACATATATTTATTAATAAATAATTTCTTAATACAATTTCAAATGATATATTCTGATAATGATAAAACATTGATATTTTTCAAGAAAATTCAACTCTGATAATTAAATCTAATAAAATATTAATATATAGTATCATGGCTTGTCTAAACTCATTTTGATTTAGTTAAATGTTTAAACCTTTAGTTTTGCTAAAATTTTACTAAGTATTTAATATAGTATTACTATTTTATAAGCTTTGATATAATTTTACTATTTTTGAATTTTTCAGATTTTAATAAGGTTTTAATATAATTTAACCAAGATTTACCTTTATTATTTAGACACTTGTGTAAACTCTAGATTTTTTTAGCAACCTTAATCATAGGCAAATAATTAGTAAATAGAAAATATATTGAAGTTATTTCAATTTTTAATATGTACTATTCTTGTGATATCAAAATTTGAGTTTAATTTTTTAAATTTAAACATTAGAGTAGAAACTAATTTTTAAGAAATCATAATCTAACTGAATGAAAAATTTTCAATGATTTATATAATTAAAAAAAATTTATTTTTGAATATTAATTATATTTAATTGTTTTTTTTTATTTTATCTATGTGAATCAAATTTGGCAATATGCATCATTAATTGTTATATTAAAAAAGATACATCAGGCCAATCTCAAAGTAATTAAGAACATCATACAATACGAACTTTCAAATTGATAAATATATGAAACATTTTACTTCAAGTATTAAAAAGAATTAAGAGTTATGATTCAAAATTATAACTAATCGTTTTAAATTGATAAAGATTTAATAGGTGATAGTTTAAATTAGAAAGGTTTTTTGAACCAATGACGTTTTACTATACATCAAAATTTATGCTCCAGTTGCTGTAGAAAGGTTCAGGAATGAATTTAATATATTTAACAGTATTTAATTTTAATCAAATACAGTTAATAATTAAAGTTTTTTATGAATAAATAAACCGCTCAATTACAAACTGATTTTATTAATTAAAAAGAGGATTACATATGCTCTATAATCAATGTAAAACAATATAAGAGATATATACTGTATATAACTATAAAATAATTTAGAAAAAAAACTTAATTGACAACATTCAATTTTAAATTTCTCAAGCCTGTGAAAAAATGATGCATGCTTAGATTGAAGATCCAATCATTGAAAAAAATAAATAGATAATCTTATTTATTCCTTGATGTAAACGAACGTTTGATTTTGATATTCCCATCCAAATTCTGAATATCTTTAATTCCAATATCAATGCTATTATCAATATCGTAAGTACCTTCGTTGGACCCTGCTAGTTTTGCAAAATTTGAATTGAAATCCTTAAAATTGTTAAAAACTATTTCAAGATTATGGGCGATAATAGGACATTTTATTAATTCTGGATTTTGTTTAATTTTACCCCACAGGGTAATTCTATAGCGTACTACTTGAGTTATAGTAATACAAAATCCTCTCATGGTTTCCTTGGTTCGCCACTTAGCGGAATGGTAACCAGGTTTATAACTAGTTCTGCAGTCACCATCTTTGTCAAGTTTATTAGCGACATATCGATAATTCCAAATATTCCCAGTATGATGATCACTACAATAATTCATTGTCCACTCATCAGATGTGTATTTAGTATTTGTAACATATTTTACACCGCCTTTTGCCGATATATTTGGTATTTGTCCAGACACTCCTATTTGGCCCTCAAAGTTTGTTTCACGACCATTTGAAATTTCTACATTTCGATTTAACTGCTGTGGATATAGATTGCCTAATAATGAAAAAAGATTAATCTTCTCAACATTTTGATCTTCAGGTTTATATGGAATTGGAGAAACATGAACATCAACAGAATCAAGAAAATACCCATGACCGCGCCTATAAAATGGCAAATTTTTACTAAGCATTTGTCCTGTTGTGCATTGATATATATCGAATTCATATTCCAGGATAGGGGGAGAAAATTTGGCTCGAAGATGAGTATTAATGGCAAATCTTTGGTTGTATTTTTGATCGACAGTTGTAACAATTGCATCAGAAATTATAGTAATAAAATCTTTTTCATCTTTTCCATTATCATCATCACTTCCACCATCGCCATCATCACCACCACCATTACCACTATTACTATCATAACTATTATCACTATCATTGTTATCACTTCCATTACCATTAGCCCCTTCATTACCTTTATATTTATTTTCATGACCATCATTACTACTTCTATTATCATTATTGCCTCCATTATCACTGCTTTTATCTATCTCTTCCTTCTTGACTGATTCTTGTTCTTTCTTCAAATTTTCTTCATCATTTGGAAGATAATTTTTAGATAAATTAATATTACCAAATTCTTCGATAAGGTTATCGCTATTACTTGATAATTTAATGTCACTTTGATCAGGAATTGATATTTGGTATATAGCTTCATATTGATTCTCAAACATAGCTTCAAGACCTTCCAGGATTGAAATGTCTAATGGTTTAGCAACCCAACAAGAAATACATGGCCTGATAGAGTCATTTTGAAAGTCAATTCCTATAGCGTAAACAGTCTGCAATTTTAATAAATCATCAATATCATCCTTTCGATTAATGAGTAATTTCTGTAACTTCTCAATTTCGATATATGAAGTAGCAGAAATTCCTGGAGAAATGGTTGCTTTTATTGAAATGAACTCGGAATCATCTCTAAAGTTTGAGTTACAACAAACCTTTAATCCATCACCACTACGAATATTAACGGTAGGTCTATTAAGCTGAATATAATTAAAAGGATTGGTTTCGACAGAGGAGATATGGTTAATAGCCTGAATTTTGGCTAATTCTCCTATTTTTTTTTTTTTTTTAATAAATAACATTAAAATTAACTTTAATTTAATTATTGTTTGAGGGTATTATATTATTTCTATCTAATAATTAACACAAACTAAATACAAAACATAGATTTCTTTGTATTTATCTATACCTATTTAATCAGAATATAATTGCAACTTTGTAATTAAATTACTCTGTTTTAAACTTTCGTTTATAATTATAATTTTAAAATAAATTTAATAAATAAAATTAATTAACTTTACCTTCAGGAATTGCTAATTCATCTTGATCTTTTGAATGAAGATTTGAATTATTATATATTTCATCATCTAATGAGGTTAAAAGATTAAATTATAAAGTAATTAGGTTTTATCAATTTCTTACCATCGCTCGCTATATAACTTCTTTGCATATAATGCGTTCTTTTTTCATCGTTTGTATGATTAATTCCTAAAATAAAAAATTATAGTTAGATGAATTAAGGATTGAACAAAACTTTAAAATAATTACCTTTGACAAGTTTTGATTTAAATTTTAAATCTTGATTTTCTAAAATAAAGTAAAAAAAAAAAGTCTTATCATGAATATATGTATCTTAGATTTGCCATTAACAAATTTTTTATGATCTACATATTAACTAGTATAACTTACTATCTGGAATATTTTGATGTCCACAAGGTAATGTAATGTCCCCGACGATAAAATTACATATTCCACAATCCTTACAAAGCTTATCACAAGGATGGTTACATCTTGGATGAAATCTTGAACAAGGTTTCTGGCATATTACGTTAATATGTTTAGGATCATCTGCATGACACCTATAAGTACCTACAAAGATGATGATATTGTAATTTAATTACAAAAAAAAAAAAAATTCGTAAAATAAATCTTACATGCGTGTCCACAAGCCAATAATACGCCACATTGATCAAAGCATCTACCATTTGTGTTAACTAACTTGAATTGTTCGGGTTCTTTAATAGTATGCTTGTTAAGAGGATGTCGATCACATTGTATCGGCATACCAAAACCAACTTGATTACGAGAATGTAAAATATGAATTATAGGAGCCCACATGTCTTTGGATTTCGATGCCATTAACTCTGAGTTTCCAATAAGATACATTCCTTCGCGAGCACGTGACAATAAAACACTGGTTCGATTTGTGCTTTTGAGAAATCCAATAGAGCCATGATTATTGCCGGATGCGGAAACATTACGAACCAAAGAA